CCCACAGACAGCATGTGTACACCTGATGACTCACACATATGCAGGCGAGACACCCATACACACAAAATTAAAATTAAAAAATAGAATATGTTCTTTGAAGACTGTTCATCGATCCACTAATTCAAAATTTACTGTGAGCTAAAAATCTCGAGGTGAGCAGTGGTGATACACACCTGTAATCCCAGCACCTGGGAGGTAGCGGCAGGCAAATCTTTGAATTCTAAGCCAGCCTGGTCTACACAGTAAGTTCCAGGGCATCCAGAACTATAGAGAGAGAAATCCCCTGTCTCAAAAAAATTTTTTTAAACTATTAAAACGTGAACAATGTAGCTTTTCTCCTCAGTTAGAAGACAGAGAACACTCATCAAGAAAAGTAAGCAAATGACTGTAACAACTGGAAAGAGGTATGGAGAAAATCAAATCAGGACAGGAACAAAAAAAAAAACGCCTGAGCAGACAGGATCTTGGTTATTAATTTGGCCATAGGGTTAGAGTTAGGGTTGGGGTTGAGCAAAGGTACTTGAACAAAGACTTGAAAGTGGTGTAGACAGGGCCACAAGGCTGGCTCAGGGGAGGAAGAATGTCCCAAGTAGGCAGGGTCCTGGGGCACAGGAAGGAAGCACATTCAGCTAGAATGATGTCATAAGAGGGCAGACTAAAGTCAAAGGAAGAATGGGGTCAAACCCTGGGGATATGAGATGGGAAGTTCAGAGAACAGAAACATGGCCCAATGTTCATTTTAATGTAGTAATGCAGGATGGAGAGAGATAGGGCCATGGCTACTAGGTCTCCATAGTGGAGTGTTACATAGAGGGTTCTGCAACTACTTTGGAGTGTGTAGTATTTGCTGATGTACTGGATGAAGGAGGGAGGCAAAAGAGTTTGCAATGGCTTTGGGTTGTTTTGCCTTTTCTCTAACTTTAGCAGCTGGAAGAAGAGATGGCCATTAACTGAGTTGGGACAGAGAGTTGAGAGGGAGCATTTCATGAGTAGAAATTAATTTGAGAAGTTATTTTTTCACAATCAGATGGATATTTCTAATAAGCAATGAGTCTGAAGTTCAGAAGGAACATATAAACAGTGCTTGAGAGTAGATAAAGATTTGTGCTGTGAGACATTTCAATGTTAAGATGCCCTAGAGGGAAGGGACAGGGCTTAGCTCAGTGGTAGGGTGCTTGCCTAGGTTTGCTGTTGAAAAGAATAAATGGGCTCTGGAGATAAGGAAGGACAGCAAAGGGAGCTAAAAGCGAAGGCTGGAGTAGGTGACAAGAGTGACATTCTGGGAAGGGTCCCAGGGCATGTGAGTGGTTCCATGTCTAAGGTAAGAATGAAGATCTCAGCACTGCTGTCTTATAGCACCTTGGAGGTTAGGCTATCGTAATTGTTGCAGATAAGGGGGGAGGCGGCCATGATTGGGGTCTCTTAACAGAAGGTAGGAGGAAAAGAATTGGAAGTGTCTAGTATAGACAGTTAATCCTGAGGGATTTGCCTGTGAGAGAGAGCTGGGGTAGGAGTCCAGGCTTTTTGTTTGTGTTCGTTTTGTTTTCTTCTGGGGAAGAGTTAAGAATAACTTAGGAAAGGGGGTGTTTTGATGGAGTAGAGCAGAATTGTGAAGAGACCTTTTCAAGTGTGTGGGAAAGAGTGGGCTCTAATGACAGGGTTGGCCTCAGACTCAGGGGCAGCTTACCCTTTCAAGGACTGAGGTTAAATTCTGGATACATTGATACGTATGCGTGGGGAGCAGGCATAAATAGAGGTCTTCCAATTGCCTCACTTTTCTTAGAGCAACAGGAAATGAAGTTATTGGATCTGTGGTTGGAGGAGAAATGGTAAAAGTTGTCTAGAAGATGAGATGAGCAAACCAACCTGGTCACCTGTAAGTCCTCAGAGGAGGTGTCTTCAATAGGGTCACCTGTAAGTCCTCAGAGTCTCAGAGGAGGTGTCTTCAACAGGGTCACCTGTAAGTCCTCCGAGTCTCAGAGGAGGTGTCTTCTGGTTTTCTTTGGCATCACTCATTTTTCCTCCTGATGGCCAATGTCCATCAAAATGCCAGTGTGCAGTAGATGTTCCATAAGTGTTTAATATCAGCATTGGTACCATATTACCTACGATTCATTTGTAGTTAGCCATGCATCACACTTTGTTCTTAACACCTTGTCCATTTATTACATTTGCTATTGGTGGCTATTGGTGGCTACTTGTGTCAAATTTAGAGTCAGGATGAGATGCAGTCACAAGAAAGTGAGAAGTAGCTATTACTATCCTTAGGAGGTAAGAATCTTTTAGAAGGTTCCATAATTTCCAAAGGATCCTGCCTGCACCAACAAGGCCCACCAGGAGAGGGCAGTCCTGCATGCATTAGCATGCCTGCCCCACCCTCAGGCTCTGGGACACTAAGGAGGTCCTTCTGTTCCCAGGCATTCAGTCTCAAGCCACAGTGCCTGATCCTTTAAGAGACATGCTTAGAGCAGTGGTCTCTTGCAGTGATTTCCTCCCAGGTGGCATTCGCCATCATATGGAGATTTTTTTTGAATCATCATAAATGGGGGATAGAGGCAAAGCTTACTCCTAAACACCCACAAATGGATCAAACAATCACTACAGTCTACACGGAAATATCTGCTCCAAAATGCCAGCAAGTGCATCAAGAAACTAAATAATCCTATGAACATCTATAAACAGCTCAGTAAAACTGATACAGAGGTGTGAGTTCGAGGCCGGGCTGGACCGACAGCATCCAAAACAATACAGAGAAACCCTGTCTCATAAAAACAAAACAAAACAAAAAACTCATACAGAGGAACGAACAGAAGGCAGCTTCAGGAGACAGAGAGATAGCTCCAGGGGTAAGAGCACTTGATGTGCAAGCCTGACAACCTGCATTTGGACCCCCCAGAACCTACCTAAAAGCTGGGCCTGGCAGTGCAAGCCTCCATAATCCCAGCATGCTATAGGGAAAGGGAGAGACGAGCGGAGCTCCTGCGGTTTGAGAGCCAGCTAACCTGGCTTGGGCGGCAGTCAAGAGGCCATTTCAAACAAGACAGAAGGGCAAGGACCAAAGCCTGAAGGTTGTCACCTGACTGCCACATGCACGTCACGGCATGCGTGCCAACACCCCCACACACGAGCATGCCCACTTGCCTGCATACATGGGGTGAGTAGGGAAGACTCAGCGCTTCAACTCATAGAAATCTGTCAAAAGTAGACTATGGATTTTGCTTCTTTGAAGGAAGTCAAGTCTTTGAAGGCCAAGCCATCTTGATCCGTCGCTTCAGACCCTCCACTCGCCGCCTGTTATCACCAGTGAGGCAAGCTAGGAAATGTGTAGCAATGGCCATGGAGGACAGCCAAGAGGGCAGACTGTCCTCTCAGCATCCATACCGACCTTCTGTCTGTGTGAGAAGTGAGATGCCCCCAACGCCCTTCTATGTAAATATTCTCCACCTCCAAAGCATGATGGGCGGCCACTGCCTGATTGCTCTCAGGCCGTACTCCAGAGGGTTCAGAGTGTTGTTCTCAAAGCCTGCGGGCCTGATTTATGTAAAGGGCACTGTCATCACAAGGGGCCACTTGTTTGTGGTTGGGAATGCTTTTCTGAAGCACTCCAGCTTTGGAAAAACAGGCATATTTCTTAGCCTTGCCTGAAACACATGTCCTTCCAAGCCCAAATGAGCTCAGCGTTCAGTATAGACCAATGTCGCCATCTCTCTGTAAAGCAAGCTAGCCCACCACCTCTCACAGTGGGAATCTTGTCTGTCAGAACTTAGACAGGAAGCAGTGAAGATCAGCCTTCACCTGTGGTTTCGCTCACACGTGGTTGTCTTCATCCTCCTCTTTGTGCTTGAACTCTATTGGGAGTGTCTGAAGGCAAAGGAACGGATGGACTGAACGTCTATGGGGAGCTGTGACAAGAAATACAGGAACATGTTCAAATCATAGGCAAGTTGTAGGTTTCCCCAAAGATCAAAGTGCCTGCTTTCTTCATTACAGGAGTTTATTTGAAGAGCTAATGAGAGAACATATAGAAATCAAGCATGGCTACGGATCTGGGACCTGGTTTACCAGTTTCTGCAGAGCTAGGTCAAAGGATCCTTTAGGTTGGAGGGAAAAGGAGAGTGAGGCACACGAGCAATGGAACATTACTAATACCCCTTACTGACTACAACTTAATGCAGTATTTTGCTCATGAAATACAGTATAACGATAATATGATAACAATAATGATAATTGTTATCACCCATGGAGGGATACTCCTGTAGGCCGGGCTTTATCTCAGAAGCCATCCAGATTACATCACTTCACGATCAAACTACCTAGAAGAAATCAGTACCCAGGCAAAACTAAGACTCCAAGAAGCAATATAATGTGTCCCAGGCTTCCAAACACTAAGATCCACACCAAGGAAAGTAGGTGTTTTACACATGCCAAGAGCATTTACTCTTGCAACAAACTCTAAATGGAATCCACTTGAGTGAATGAAGACTCCAGAGTGTCTCTTATGGAGTCTAAGTTCTTTGGTGAAGAGTTCTGTAATACTGCCAAAATGGTTTGTGTGTTTTCATCAACATAACTTATTTGGCCCACATCTTACAAGGTGATGTAACAAAGTATATACAGGGCAAGGTGTCCTTCTATTAATCATGAGATGTCACTGAAGTTAGACTCTTTGGAAACCATTTCACACCCTCAAAGCCGAATGAATTTTAGAGTGTTATGTCAAACGTGTTACAAATTCACTACAGTCACTGCTGATACTGTTGTTCATATTACTTAAAGTCAGGCTGGAGAGACGGCTCAGCTGTTAAAGGTTAGGCTCACAACCAAAAATATATTATTTAAATTCTCAAATTTTAGTGTTTGCTGTATGAATTTAAATTTTACTTTGACATCTGCATTTTGCATAGTGCCAAAGACCTAGCATGAAGAAACATGGCCTGTTGAACCATCTTTCAAGATCAGGGAAATATTGGTGCAAAGCATGTTTGTATTTTAAATCCTAGGTACTGCCCAGGCGATGGAAGGTGGCCAAGTGGAATACAAGCCTCTTTCAGGCATTCGGTATATGTGGTGGTACCATTTAATTGGCCTCATATGGACTAGCGAATTCATCCTTGCATGCCAGCGGATAACTATAGCTGGAGCAATGACTACTTGCTATTTCAACAGGTGAGTCCTGTCTTTGACCCCTGTGGTTTGTCTGTGTGTTTCGGATTGTATACATACCTCTGAAAATATTTACGAGTTTTCACTCAATATTTTAAAAGAGAGTAACAAGAATTAGAAAAAACAAACCAACAAAAAGACTAATCTAAAATTTGGCCTAAAAGCTTGATTATTGGCCTTAAATCTTACACATTTTCTAGGCTCTTTTGCTTAAACTAGAAAATATAGAAAGAAAGAAAGAAAGAAAGAAAGAAAGAAAGAAAGAACAAAGTAATCGTATTGCCTAGAATTAGCAAACACTTAAAGGAAAATATTATAATCTCTGTGAATACCCATTCTTACTGGCTTCAGACTTTACACATTATGGATCTATTTTAAATGCACTCCAGTAGCTATATCAACTATTTTATCTCTGTGAAATCAGAAGAATGTTTACTTGGAAAATAATTTTATGCCCTACAGGAACTGTAAACTATAGCACGTTTTCTTAGTTAAGTACTAGTGAATTAAGTACTTGCTTCTGTATCACTAGCCCATTACCCAGTGAAAATAACTGAGGACTATTGCTCCTCCTCCACTCCCACCCCATCCCCACTCATATATACCTGAGCTCTTGGCATCTCTTGTGTGCACTCTCCAGGGATTGTAGCCAGAAGAGCAGGCTCCGGACAATGACAGGGTTGGACTTGGAACAGGAAGTTTACTCCTGGCAGAGCTGACCCTCCTCTAGTCTCTCAGACCAAATGAGTAGATAAACATGAGCTTTCTGGGGTAAGAGAGCCAAGCAGCCATGATTCATGTGGTTGAGCAGTTGCCTCCGGATGATAAAGAGCACTGTGGGCTTTTAATACTGTGGTACTCTTTGAGAACCACATCATTAGGACCTCTGGAGAACCCAAAAAGGGGCTGCTGCCCTTGGTTGTCATTGAGAGCCTCCCAGCCGCTGGAGAAGGGAGTTTCTTAGTCTCCAGGAGGGAACACATATCTGCCCAGCCAAACTGGCCAGCAGGTAACTAACATCTGTCCGACAGATTTTATGTTAGCATGACCAGACCAAAGCATTTCCAGCAAAGGCGTGAATGCAGAGGCCCAGAGGTTCATGGACACTGATCTCAGTCCTCCCTTCTCTCCACACTCCGTCATTAAAGAATTGCAAAGAAGCAAATACACAAACTGTGAGAAATGGACAAGCAACGACAGCAGATGAGAGCCATCAGCCTTGAAACGTGTGACTTTGGATGCTAATGTCAAAACATAAAACGCAGCCAGATGATGAAAACTGAAGACGGGATCTGTCACAGTGGGAAAAGCTGGGAAGGTCGGCTTGTGAGTGTTGGCTGTGTGTAGACATGCAAAGAAGATGCTGGCTGGACACAGAAGCCGGAGGCAGGAATCCAAGAGTAAAATGTGCTTCCAGGCCAGCCTGACGGCTCAGCAGGTGAAAGTGCCTGCCATGAAATCCCGGCGACCTGAGTTTGCTCCCCAGAGCCCATGCTAGGAAGAGACACCTGACTTGCAGACCTTGTCCTCCAACTTCTACCAGGGCATGCCCATGCCCTCATGTTTCCACACACACAGCATATCCATAGACATGCAGCAGTAACAAATACAGTTTTAAAAACAAATACATATAAAATAAAATATGCTTCCAAAGATGCTGTCTTCAACCCCTAGGTCCTTCCTCCATTTACAGGGAGGAAACCTTTGCTGTCCACAAGCATTCCCCAGAGAGGGTCTGAGTATGAGGTATCGGCACAGCTGACCAAAGCGGGGAGAACGGGTGGAAGACGAGCACTGATCAGTGAGGACCCCATCGCCATCACACCCCCACGTTCCACAACTCAGTTCCCAGGATGCTGGCAGCCAGGCTGGCCCTCTAAAGAGGGGCAGGGTTGGAGAAGCTTTCTAACCAGGTCAGGTGTCCCGTGATCCCCCAGTGAAATGGACTCCAGACTCCCACCCAGCAGTGGCGCTCCCGGGCTCTCTACCACAGAGCATCCGCGTGTGTTTGAACTGTTCGTTAGCGGTTATCGTGCATCCGAAGAAAGTGAAAGAGACTAGAAAGCAACCAAAAGGAATTTAGAGGAAGGAGAAACAATGCAAGTTGTAAAGGAAGCTGGTGACAGTGCAGGGGAAGCATCTGTAATACTATCATAGAGACACAGGAACCCTGACTCATTGACTATCACAGAGAACACAGGAACCCTGGACTCATTAACTATCATAGAGAACACAGGAACCCTGGACTCATTAACTATCATAGAGAACACAGGAACCCTGGACTCATTGATTATCATAGAGAACACAGGAACCCTGGACTCATTGATTATCATAGAGAACACAGGAACCCTGGACTCATTGACTATCATAGAGAACACAGGAACCCTGGACTCATTGACTATCACAAAGAACACAGGAACCCTGGACTCATTGACTATCATAGCGAACACAGGAACCCTGGACTCATTAACTATCATAGAGAACACAGGAACCCTGGACTCATTGACTATCACAGAGAACACAGGAACTCTGGACTCATTAACTAAGACTCTGCACATAAACGTGCACATTAAGAGCATGAGAGAGACGGATCCTTTAATAATCAGCTGTTTCACAAGTAGGAGTTTCACAGTAGCTGGGTTCACCTTGATCTCCTGGTCCTCTTGCTTCTTCCACAAAACGTCTGAGATTTTCAGGCATACACTATCATTTAGTAGTGTATGGTGTCACACTGAATGGTAGTGCACTCAGGAGGCAGAGGTAGGTGGATCTCTGTGAGTTTGAGGCCAGCCAGGTCTACAGAACGAGTTCCAGGGCAGCCAAGCCAACACAGAGAATCCCTGATCTCGAGAAAACAACAACAAAAATTAAAGAATGAAATTTTCAAAGAAACTTGGTCAGAGCTGAGGACATAAATTAGGCGTCTCCAGAAGCTTCTCATAGAGGAAAAAAGAAAAAGAAAAAGAAAAAAAAAGGAAAAAGGTCCAACAGGCAACAGGGCTTGAGCATCAGAAGCAAATCTGATGTCTGACATTCAGCAGCAACTCTGAACCCAGGAATCAGCAGAACAGAACTGTCCAAATGTGTGTGCTCCCAGGCCCCTGACCTAGAGTTCTGTACCCATTCCCATCATCGATCCATCAAAGGTCACAAAATCCCCCAAAGATTTCCCAGGCACGTCCTTTCTAGGAAGCATGTTTCCACTGAAAGTCATGAGTAAGCGAGGGAGAAAAAGGAGCTTCAGAAAACAAGCAGTCTGTAGGAGAAAGAGTCAGGAGTTCCCGGGAAGGTAGCAGCGTTGCAAGTGTTAAAACAAGAAGTCCAGCCTAAGGCTGAGTGGGAAAACCTACAAGAGGCTGTCTCCAGGCAAACACAAAACTGAGAGAGGAACAGATGTGCTTAAATATACAGAGATTTACACTCTGGCTCAGTGTTGAGTGAAGCCCAAGGGAAACAGAGCAAATAAGAAAATCTGATGCAAGTATGAACTCCAGGAAAATCCTAAAGTTGCACAGAAGAGAAATATAGTTGGAGAGGGCTACTTGCGTCAGTTGGGAATATTCTTCACAGTACATTTATTTTATTTATGTACTAATGATATGAACACTAAACATTAACTTAAAAATCGGTATAATTGTGAAAGAGTGGGGAGATGAAGGCATGGAGCAGTGAGGTTAGGCTGAATAGTAAAAAAGAGCCCTGAATATTGCACCATCAGGCAATATCCAAAGCTGAGAAACTGAGAGGGACTGAATGGGTGGCTGGGTGGTAGAGCACTGGTCTGGCATGCCTAAGGCCCGGGCTTCAATCCTCAACACCAGAGGAAAAACTCGACAGGATGCCATAGGGAAAAGCAAGTCACGAGAAAGTTCCAGAAGAAACAGTCAAACTTAGCGTCTCCAGAGAGGGAGAATTAAACATAGGTAAAGCAAGCTGACTGTTTTCTTAAACCTACGGGCACTATTTAGCTTTTTTTCAATCATTAATTTTATTTAAAAGTTAATTTAAAGTAAAATAGGTGAGCAAGTTGAAGACTTGGTACAGCGGTTACAAATATTTGCTGCTCTTGCAGAGAACCCAAATTTTCTTTCCCAAACTCCCATCAAGCAGCACAAAACAGCCTGCAACCCCAGCTCCAGGGAGCCAGCCCGGCTTACGTGCTCCAACAGGCATCTACATACATGTGGAAGACATATGTAGACATATACATGAATTAAAATAACAATCCAAAGTAAAATGCATGATGATTTATTTTTAGCACTACAGTTATTTAATTATTAAAGTCTTCTTAGCCAGGCATGAGGGCACACTCAAAAGGCAGAGGCAGGAGAATTACCACATCTGAGGCTAGCCTGGTTTACAGAACAAGTTCTAGGCCAACATGGACTACATAGAGAAACCCTGTCTCAAAGCAAACAGGAGTGGACTTCCCTTTGGACTGTCTTCTTCACTGTGAAACCTTCAGGTTTTCCTCATCTACAGTTCACAGTTCTTCCAGGCCGCGTTTTGACTGATACAATCCCTCACATTGACTGTTGTCATTTTTTTAATCTTCAAGAGGGCTGAAGAGTTATAAGGTGACCAGGACGTACCAACCTATGGGCAACCTTAAAACTCAGCTTTGAAGGTCATGTTGTGGCGTTGTAGAGACACTCAGCAGTTAAGAGCGCTTGTTGCTCTTGCGGAGGACCCAGGTCTGGTTCCCAGCACCCTCAGAGCAGTTCGCAACCGTCTGTAACTCCAGTTCCAGGAGTCCTGTGCACTCTTCTGGCCTCCTCTGGGCATTACTTGACAGGCATGCAGACATGCGGGCAAACATCATGCACATAAAATAAAAATAAGTACCTCTTTAAAATGTAAACAGACAGGGCTGGAGAGATGGCTCAGAGGTTAAGAGCACTGGCTGCTCTTCTAAAGGTCCTGAGTTCAATTCCCGGCAACCATTTGGTGACTCACAGCCATCTAAAATGAGATCTGGTGCCCTTTTCTAGCCTGCAAATGTACATGCAGCCAGAACACTGTATACATAATAAATAAATATTTTTAAAAATACAAAAAAACAAACATTCTCTTGAAGAGCGCATCAGTACAGACTCTTTTTAAGAAGCCAATAGCGCATGCCTGGAATTTCAGCTCTGGGGAGGATCAGGAGTTTAAAGGTCACCCTTAGTCAAGGATGAGCCTGAGGCTACATAGTATGAGGCTAACCTGGGCATGAGACCCTATCTCAACAAAGGCAGTGAGTAGGGGTAGTGAGGAGGGAGGGAGACGGCTCAGCTGATAAAGTGTCTGCCGTACAAACGTGAGAACCTGAGTCTGAGCCCCAGAACACACAGGAAAAAGTCAGACACGGTGTCCCACGTTTGTTTTTCATTTTAATGTTGTTGATGGAGTTTGTTCTTGCCCTGTGGGTTCCCAGGGTGCAACTCAGATCATTGGGCTTGGCTGTCAGCACCTTTACCCACTGACCTTTTCTCTGGTCCTGTGGTGTAGACGTGCTAGGAAGGTACAGAGAGACAGATCCTTAGATTGCAGGCCAACCAGCCAAGCCACTGATAGGCCCTGAGTCAGAAAACAAGGTTTGGATGGCACAAGAAACAACATCCCACCCCTGCCACATCAGGGTGACCTCTGGATTCCACATATGGGAACACACATACACACACACACACACACACACACACACACACACACACACACGCACGCACGCACGCACGCACCCCCAGCAAGCACACATGCCCATAATAAAGACAGTTTGTATTTCTTGTGGAATTGGAAGGATAAGCTTTACCACCACCTCACAGCCTCCTCATCCCTCCCTGCAGGCTTTGCTAGAGAGACACAAGGAAGGGCAGGCATTTGCAGTGACCACACTGTTTCCCACTCACTACTGGCTTTGTTGGGAGCCAGCCAGCCCATGCAGCCCAGACTTCATTCAGGGACTACAGCACAAAATTGGCTTTGCATAATGTCGGAGGAGTTTCTAGAGGGTGCCAGGCTGAACTGAACTAGTGTTCTTAGGGCCCTGAAGTTGCTGGTGTGGCTGTAAACCATTGTACTTTGACTTAAAGGTATTCTCAGTCTTCCCCAGACTCCTATTCAAGTTATCACTGGGTCCCCACCACGCCTAGCACCCCAATGTCAGTTCTCAACTACGGTTAGGTGCAGAGATTAGTATTATTTTCAGCTTCCTGGGGAAATAATCAGATCCTTTTCCTAAAGGCAGCTTATGCTGGCTCTGAGGGAGGCAGAGCTGATGGCCCTAGCCACTTGTACGGGGGAAGGACTGGCAGGGTGATCTCCCGGGTGACCATAGGAAAAGGCGGTAACTTCAATGACACTCTACCCAACCTCTGTTTTGCAGGACTGTTTCTAGTTTGAAAGCAGGTATTGAGTGACTCTTGGCTTGGGTTAAAAGGGCCTTTTTAAGTTCCCTCTCCCGTCATGTGATAACCCAGCTTCTAGAGCCTTCTGTATCTTCCTCCAGCCAAGCCCAGCAGAGCCAAGCATTGTGACTTGGGAGGGAGGCAGGGCAGGCACTCCTCTGTCCCAATGGTTTATCCCGCTGCAATGAAACCTGCTCAGAAATCTGATGCCTAAACCAGACTTCAGTACCTGGAGGACCAGACCTCAAGGCCTAATCACAGTGGCCTGTGAGTCATTTCTTTGCCAAGCAGATGGGAAGCAGGTGTCCCTCTGCATCTCTCTCTGAAGCGGTGGAGTAAGTTCTAAGGCTTATAAATCTCAATGGAAAAGTAAGCATCCTTCCTTTAGGAAAAAAAAAATGAGGAGATGGGGAAAATGTGTCAGAATTTCCTGGCCTGCTCTCCTCTTCCAGTATCAGATCAAAATGGCAAAATGGATTTCCATCTGTGAAAGCCCCCCCCCCCCCCCATCTCCTGTAGCTTAGGCTGGCTTCAGATTCACTGTGTAGAGGAGAATGGCATTGAGCTTCTGGTCCTCCTGCCTCTGCCTCCTCTTGAGTGCTGGAGTTGTATAGACCACACCACCACTCGGGGCTCATACACAGCTGGGGATTGAACCCAAGGCTTTGTGCATGCAAGGCTCCCGAGTGAGCCACATTGACACACACAGCACCCTTGGTTAGGCAGCCGGGTTGCAGCTCCGCCTCAGTCTTGCTGCCCTGTTCCCTTGCTCTTCCTGGATGATTTAAGTAAGAGCAAAAGGCAATGGTTGCCAACTTTTGAGACCTTGCTGGTCGTGGACCTCTCCTCCCTCAGATCCAGGCCATTGTCAAAACCTTAATTCATAGTGACTTAGCAGGACCAAGCCAGTTGCAGAGGAATCTTTTCTAAAGAAGCAAGCTTCACTTGGAGCCTGGGAGGTTGCTTCTGGGAAAGCCCACCTCCTTTTCTAGAATGGCATCCCTGAGAACTCAGGTCACACATTCAGGTCACCAGAAGGGTGACATCAGCTCTCCCTTCTCTTAGCATTCAGGTTTGAGGGAGAGGGAGGACCATGTCCACTATTCTGTTCTTTCTTCCTCTCTGTGAGGCTGACTGGCACACATTCTTGGGAGCTGTGTCATTACCAGTCCAATAAATGATTCACACTGAAGTGACCTTTAGGGAACACAGGAGAAGTCAGCTGGTTTAGGGAGCCCAAAACTGTGCAGAGGCCAACCAACCCAGTGCTGTGTGTCCTCCCTTCAAACCTAAGCTCCCAGTCACCTTTGCCAGCCCCGGCCTAGATCATGTGACTTGATGACAGCTCTAATCACCAGGTTAATACTGGCAAGAATTGCACATGCCCCTCTGTCATTTAAACGGTGAACACCGTGAAGGACCCGATCTATTGCAAATGAAAATAATAGCAACAGTCGCCTGGAGGGGTGGATGGAAGGACCGAGAACTATAACAAAGGAACATGCACCTCTTTTTCTGTTTTGCATTTGTTTACACATGAATGCCAGCAAAAAATGTGAATTAGCCCAAGATACAAGGTAACCCTGGCTACCAAGGAGGATAAAAATCTTGCCAAGTGCTTACTTAGTCACAATGCCAGTGAGGATCTGAACCAGGGGGAAGTTTTTTGTTGCTTTTTAAATAGTGAGTTTTAAATGTTTTTTCCCCTGTTCCCAGGAATCAAAGTGACCCTCCTGCCCATCCAATCCTTTCGTCTCTCTCCATACTTTTCTGCTACCATCAAGGAACGGCGGTAAAAGGGTCATTTTTAATCACTTTGACAAGGATCCCAAGAGTCATTCTCATGCACATTTATAATACCCTGAAAGAGCCGGTAAGACAACACCCTAAAATTGACAGGTTAATGGGAAACAGGGAAACATAAGGTTCCAAGCTGGCTTCCATGCTCCTATGCAAGGACTCCCCAAGCTCAGCTTTGCGTCCAGGCTGAGGAAGGGGTAGTTCTGTGTTAACTGCAGTCCTCCTAATTAAAATGCGGGACAAATGGTTGAATCCTGTTGGTGCAGTTTCAGCTAGTGTTTGTGCCTCTTCCTCATGCTTGTTTGTAAGTAAGATACATTATAAAGTAGGAATAATAGTCGTTTTGTTTTGATGCCAACATACTCCCTGCCTGCTGTGTTTCTAGAGGGTGCCGTGGGAAGCGATTTGTGTGGGCCAGGGGGAAAGAGTCTGTGTGTGTGTGTGTGTGTGTGTGTGTGTGTGTGTGTGTGTGTGTGTGTGTGTGTGTGTGTGTGTGTGTTCATGTGTACATGCTCACACATGCTCGAGAATGGGAAATGGACAACCTGACCTACGTCTCAGCTCAAAGGACAGAAAACTGTAGGGCTTTTGTGATGAGCGTTTTCTCCTTCTCGGGTTTTATTTCCATGCGCATTTAGTGGAAACCAGAACACCAGGAAAACAGCTGTTCTCATGGTGTCTCTAGGCTGGCACACAAGAGAGGCTTGGACTTGTCCCAGCCTTCCTGCTCTCATACAATGCTCATTTTCCCCGCCTGCTTCCACCTGTGGGGTTTGTGACTTGCTCTGAGTCTCACAAACCTACCTGATTCCTCCAGCCTTTGGGTAATGGTTACATGACCTTAGTAAACGGGGAAGTTTTATGGCCTGGTTCACATTGTTCACAAGTAATTGTGTTTGTTTTTAAAAACAGAAATCTAAATTGTCGGTATTTTAAAATCTACAATCAAGATTTCAGCTCGGCATATCAATCAGGGACAATACAATTGAACTGCACATGGAATTATCTGGCTTTCTTATCTTGTTATGTTGAGCAGTTGACTATGAGATGTTTTGCTGGGCTTCCTTGCCTGGCTGCATTTAAAGAGGTGGTTCTACCTGGCCCACAGCAAATCTAAGCTATTATAGTCTTAGAAAACCTAGAGAAGGCTTCTTTCCTCCTTCCTTCATTTATTCCATTTATTTCTTTATGTGTATTGTGCAAGACTGAATGAGTGTATGTGCCAGAAGAGGGCATCAGATTCTCTGGAACTGAAGTTACAGGCAGTTGTGAGCTGCCATGTGGATGCTGGGAATTGAATATAAGTCCTCCGCAAAAGCAGCCAGTACTCTTAACCACTGAGCCCAACTCCAGTGCAAGGTTTCTTAAAGTACAGAATCACTTTTTATTTTAAATAGACTCAGGTCAGGTGAGTATTTTGTACCTATGCAACACATATCTGAATATGTATTTTATTAATATGTATTTTAGTCACGGATATATACTGATATATTGGCCACTAATACGTATATCTAATAATTCATGTAATCATTTAACATGTGTATTAGTTATTGATAATCATAAATCAATGAGCAGCTGAGAGCTTTCTGTCCCCCACTGAGCAAGGTATTCTTAAGCCCTTTGGGAAAACAGTTTCCATAAACCCAAACTGGTGGAAGACGAAGGTCTCTCTGACCTGGGTCTAAAGGATTATTCATCACTCTCGATTCCACAGTGTGGAATCCCATTTAGTGATGTCACCAAGGTCAAATATGACCTCCCATAGGTCTTCTGCAGGGGCCTTAAGGCTTGGTCCTATGTCTGCAGTGTCAATACTTCTCATAGCCAAATGTGATCTCTCCTACATTAAACAGCCTCATTCACGTCGCCACCAAGCTAAAACCTGTCCAGGTCAACTTTCATCCAGTTGAATTAACACTGGGACAAGAAAATGTCTATGTAAGATTGAGTTGGTCAGGGGTCCACAAAGTAGGCTGGTTGAGCATTAATAGCTGGTTTGGGGTTGTTTTTGTTTTGTTATCTCTGGGTGGGACATGGCAGCTACCCCTTGCACTGCTGGTTCACTCAGTTTTCATTTTTAAATCCTTTAAATTGTTTATTCAAACTCAGTTTGTCAGGTGTGGTAGCCAGCACTTTTATCTACACTGCTGTGCTCGCCAGCCTGGGATTTTTGTTTTTTGTTTTTGTTTTTGTTTTTTTACAGTAGGTGGTAGGTAGAACTTGACAAACCACCCCTGCCTCAACTATTTCATTCTCAAGTTACACACTCAAGTTAGACTTCAGAAGATTGACTGAATCCTTGAAATTTAGTCTGAAACACTCATGGTAGGATCTATGTTCCCCAACGTTGAGCTTGATTATTTGTGTGGGAACATGGCTAGTATCTACAATATATGGTTTGGATTTCCAGTCAGTGACAAAAAACTCACAAACTTCGAATTCAGAGGTCCATACCTATTGTCTCAGGACTCTGGTGGCTGAACAGGGGAATTGGGAGCTCGGGGCTAGTCGGGGCTATGCAGCAACACCTTGTCTCAAAATAAACCTAAAATAATTCAGTCAGCCATTGTGGTCCATACCTGTAATACCTACATTTGGGAGGCAGAAGCGGGAGAATCAGGAGGAGGTCAAGGCTAGCCTCAGCTACATAGTAAGTTTAGGGCCAGCATGGGCTACAAGAGACCCTGTCTTTAAAAAACAGCACACCCACAAATTGTGCATACCATTTGGCAGATGAAGAGGAACAAGAGCTAAAAAGTCAGCTCTTCCTTTGCTGGTGAATACCAGTTAATCCATTTCCCTTGCTGCTGAGGTTAACTGGACCATGACGTCTAAGGACATGAATGAAAGTTAGTTCATTCTCAGCCATAGCAATATGGCACATGAGTGAGAATCACTCCAACTTTACCCGGGTACTTAGGTCTGCAAATGGAACGGCCTTCCCCTCAGAGACAAGCTACTTACCTTCTCTCTGTCGTCTCCCACTCTGTCTTTGTGTCACAGCAGTGTGGTGCGTGGTCAAGAGGTGTGTTCAGATGCAACTACTGTGGGTTCAGGTGTCTTGCCAGACACCTGCAACATCTCAACCAGGTATGTGCCTTCCCTGTGCCCCGGGAGTCTGAGGGTGGCTTCCGGCACTTAGATCAGCAAATTCCTCAGAGCAGGTTGTGTAATTCCTTCAGCTTTTCAACCTTGTCATGTGTCAAGTCCACTTAACTCCAGCATCAAATCCAGAAAAGCAGCCACAGACAAGTGTAAAGAAACACACAGGGCCGGGTGTCAATAAAACTTTACTAATGGACTCTGAAACTTGAATTCCATGTAACTTCACACGCCAAGAAGCATTCGCTTTTGTCTTTCCACTCATTTTAATGTTGTGAGCATCATTCTTAGCACCAGCCTAAGGAGGGCAGGGCAGGAGTTTGAATACACAGCCTCCGCAGGGCTGTGGTTCGTAGACCCCGTACATTGGTAGACTATTACAACTGCTCTTCAAATTCTGCAGAAATGAGTTTCCTTTTTTTTTTCTAAAATAAAAAGGGGCAGGAGCCTTTTCCCATTTGACTATAATGAATAGCTGTCAACCTCAAGCAAATGTCAATGCTGTGTAACAGGCATAATTCTCCTAAACTACGAGCAGTTTCATTTCTTTTTTACTTTTCACCAGCCCCTCCCTTTTAAGCTACAATTTTTCTCTTTTAAAATCTTTCAAACTGACAGACATGTCAATAAATGTGTTTTTTTTCCCTGTAGCTTGTTTAGGAATGTTTAATAGCCCTTAGTCACATTTACACAAAGCAGTGTTTTTGTAAGGCAGCTGCTGTTTTATAATTCAAGTGTGTGCAGAGATCTCACTTAGGAAAGTAGTTTTTCTTATGGCCCATCCTTCTAGCAGATGCTCCACCAGAAGTGAAGGGGCTAATTAGGCCATCCGTGTTTGAGGTCTTACAATTAGTATTTAAAATACCTTTCATTATTCAGGGAAAGTATAGCATTCTTTTTTTTAAGTCCTGCTCTATTTTTAAGTCTGAATCTGGGTGTACATTTCAGAACACATTTTAGCCCTAAATACCATAAGCCACTATATATAAAACACAATAAGGCAATGTGGCATTTTTCAGAAAGGGGGGCGTATATCAAGCCAAGCCACGCCTGTGTGTACACGCATAGACTAAAATGCTCCCTTCTCAGAGCTGTGTTTGTGAATCTGGACACTAGCTGCTGATATCAACGTTTTTTAAGATTTATTTATTATGTATGCAGTGATGTATTCCTGCATGCCAGAAAAGGGCACCAGATCTCATTACAGATGGTTGTGAGTCTCCATGTGGTTGCTGGGAATTGAACTCAGAACCTCTGGAAGAGCAGCCAGTGCTCTTAACCTCTGAGCCATCTCTCCAGCCCAAAGTTTTGAGATGCGTTGAGATGGGATAAGATATAGTTAAGTGAAAATTCAAAGCAAAAACAAAACATACAGTTAGACTGGACAGACAAAAACCGTGGGACCACTAATACACACTCATTCGATGGTCTTTCCAGTTTTTGCTGTGTCCTATTTCACTCTTGGTATCCAGCTCCCTCGTGGGAACCTAGGCCCCCACCATATTGTGGGGGGAATCAGTGAGGAAGGAGGAGCTCTAGGTCCTCTCATTCTGCCTTCCACCAAGGTAGCTCCACTCATAGTGACACAGGTTTGGAGTCTACCATTAGGTGTGGGTCTGGGGGGAGCGGGGGAGGTGATATGTCTGGACTCTGCCACTCAGCATCGTTTGAAAGCCACTGTCTGATTTTCTTACATTTGTTTTCCCTACTCTGTTACCCCCAGGGACATAGTCTCTACCTTCTGAAATTACACCTGCTAATATTAACTAGGGCCTTTTCTCTTGGGCATTGAGAGTGTTGCAGAGGTCAGGCGCCGTGTTCATTTTAACCACACTGTAATCACCGTTATACAGGTGGTGTGTCCTGTATGAAGATATGTGACAGACATGCAGGGGGGAGTGACTGTCCTAGGCAACGAGAGTAAGCTGGCCTTGCTCCAGCTCTGAGTCAGTGGGACAAGCAAGGGTGGCTCTCTGAGATTCTGACCTTGGGGTCTGTGCTGTAAGCCACAGCCTCCACTGGCTGTCTTGGCCTATTGCGATAGGGTGACTCCTACAGGATCGGGCAATGCCATCATCAGGCACGAGAACTCTGGGGGGGGGAGGCTGGGAAAGGGGGGCTGGACAGGGAGAGATGGAAAAGAAAGAAGAGAATGATGGGAGCATTGACAAGGAGGGAAGGGGCTGTGGGGGAGGGGCTGGTCTAAATGGTGTGCTGAAAGGGAAGGAAATGCCAGAAAGGAAGACAGATGGTGAAGATTAACCATCGTGGTTGGGGGAGGACACAGAGGGGAGAAACAGAACATTGACACGCTGAATGAACAACACAGATACTGCTGCAGTTAACAGAGAAAAGCTAGGCTTTCCTATAAATGGCGCCAAATCAACAAAGAAGAAGGAAGCTCTTATATGCAAAGACAATTCCAGGGTAAATTAAAAAAATAATTCAGAGAAACCCTGTCTCAAAAAACCAAAATGATGATGATGATGATCGTGATGATGATCGTGATAGTGATGATGATGATGATCGTGATGGTGATGATGATGATGATGGGGGTGGTGGTGGTGATGATGATGATTCAGGATGGAGCAGAGACCCAAATGTAAATCCAAGCTGTTAAACTTCCAGGAGAGACACCCTTAGTAACCATGGGTTTGCTCAGAGGAGTTCTTAAATATGGCACAGAAATCATAAGCTACCAAAAGGAACAGGGCACAGGCAAGGTCATGCTGGTAGGGAGTTTAGCCTAGCATCCCCAGCAGCACATACACCAGGAATGGTGTACACCTGTAATCCCAGCACCGGGCGGATGGAGGCAGGAGGATCGGGAGTTCAAGGCTACACCAGGCTACATAGAAATGTCAAGGCTAGTCTGAGTTGCACAAGAGTAAGAAGAGAGGAAGGAGGCTAATGTGGGAGAATGGTAGTCAGCACAGCTGTCAGTCTCATCTGTGGATAAAGGAAAGGGGGTTCAAAGTGAAGAAATGGTTTTAGATTAGACTGGAAAATAACCTCCCGTTGGACTAGGTTATTGCGGGGGTGGGGAAAGTTTGGGGATCTCTATGCCTGGAAATCAGATACAAAAGGGCCAAAGCCTGTTTTCTTTACTCTGTTTGATGGGAAGGAGGCCAGGGAAGCTGGAAGAGGATCAAATGTGTTTGTCCTGCCCAGAACCCAGATTACCCTCCCTGCAGCTCGGAGGCCACTGGTGTTTATCACTGCTTCCTAAAAGCCTCGTCCATCTTCACTAGGATCCAGGACAGAGGCAGGTAGATGGTTCTGCCTTTTATAGACACGCAGTCTAAGGTACTGCATTTTCAGAGTGGGGTAATAAAACACCAAACCTCATTATTTCTCATTTGCTTCTCTCTGCTTCAGAAATACCAAATGTGTGTACAGCTGTAAAACAACTGTGTCACCTCACATATTCATTAACCCAACTATCATTTCTTCATTGATGCTACATGCAACCATTTACGCCTGGGCAGAACAGGGGAAGGGAACCAAGAGAATCTGAGGTGTGTGTGTGTAGCAGTAAAGAAACACATGCATGAGACATGTATACACCAATAAGAAATTCAGAAACTCAGACAACAACAACCTTGGTCGTTGAAGTGCCCACGATAGTACCAGCTAATAAAACAGTGACAATGCTGGCTGTAGGCTATTGGCACCAACTGTCAGTCAGTCCTGATTGGTGGAGACTGAGGCTTGGGAAGGCTCATCCTGTCAGAAGCAGGAGTCAATCTAAGTCCATTTGTCCTCCACAACCAAGCCCTACTGCTATGCAGCTTTTCTAGACAGAGACTCAGAACCACCCCCAGGACTGTTTGCAGCAGCTTTCTGATCCAGGCAGACTAGCTTACTGACAGAGGAAGGCTTGCTAGAGGCAGACTTGGAGAGGAGAAGTATGCAGGGCTACCAGAAGCCGAGACTATGAATCCTGTGGTTTCAGGCCAGAGGAGCCTTGACTGGGTGGTCTGACTGCCCTCTTCCCCCCAGGCAAGTCAGTGGTCCAGGCCTCTGGTCCTGGAGGCTGGTTCATATCAGTCCGGCTGGCAAGGAACCCTGGAGCCTCCCTGCTCCCTACCAAGACATTTGAGGGGCCCAGTTGAAATCTTCCCAAGGGGCCGACCATGCACTAACCAAGCAACCAGAAAGCCCGCCTTCTGGGTTTGTTACTGTCCTCAAGGTAATGCCTTCCCACCCACACACAGGGCATCTGCCCCCGCTCTGATGGTGGCTTTAGATCAGCACCCACTGGTGGGCCTCCAACACTCTCATAGACCCTTCTGCGTTGATCTGAAACGCTAGAACTTTTCTTTTTCAAATCTTAGCGGAAAATCACAGACGTCTATAAGTTCTTATTCTTGCACACAAGGAAGGGCTTTTTTAACAATCAATAAAGTAGAACCTGTGGTTATTAAAACGTGTTTTTTATGAATCCCAATAAGTGTATTTCTCTGTTTCCTTAGATATCATATTCTCTAGTCTGTTATGACATCTAACTATCCGGGTGGTGCCTGGAACTCTCCAAGTTTGGAACCTGTCTTATTTTATGTTTTTATTACTATAAAGAGACACCATGGCCATGGAAACGCCTATAAAGAAAACATTTAATTGGGGTGGCTTGCTTGTAGTTTTAGCGGTTCAGTCCATCATCATGACAGGGAGCATGGCGGGGTGCAGGCAGGCGCGTTGCTGGAGCTGAAACTGTTTCGTCTTGCAGGCAACAGGAAGCTAACTGTCAGTGTCCTGAGCCTAGGAAACCAAAGCCCACCCCTACACACACACACACACAGTGACACACTTCCTTCAACAAGGCCATACCCACTCCAGCAAAGCCATACCTCATAATAGTGTTCCTCCCTTTGAGACTATGGTGGCGAATTACATTCAAACTACCACTAGGCCCAAGGCTGGCAGAGTTGGGATTGTGAAAATTGGGAAAAATATAACCAGCATTGTTCAGTTACAGTTGTTCATATAAACTAACACACTCTGTTGAGTGTTCGGTTCTAACTTATTTTTTATTTTTATTTGTAGTCACTTTAAGCAGTGGATTCCTTTTCTTTTTTTCTTTTTTTCCTTCCAGCAGAAATAGAAATAGGTATAGAAACTGAGCTATGGGCTGACACTAATACCACTTGAAAACTACCAGTCTCCTAGGAGACTCTCCCAGAAAATATCAGCCTTTAGTTGGGGGTCACAGCTGTTTGCCTCTGACCCTTCCTTCTTTGTGTAACTCAAGCTGGCCACTCAGCCTCAGGAGCTTTGCAGGTTGAAAGCATTGGGTTAAATAACCACCGCGTCCCTGTAGAGCCTTTTGAGCCTTGGTGGACTATCTAGCTCAGGGCACAGGCATGCCGATGCCAGCCCACTCTGTCATGTGCCTGTGAACTGGGCTTAGGATCTGACTGCTTTCCTGTGTTCTAAATTGACATGATCTTCTCCCCCACCTGACCCCCAAATGCTTTTTTTGTTTTGTTTTTCAAGACAGGGTTTCTCTGTGTAACAGCCCTGGTTGTCCTGGATCTCATTTTGTAGAATATGCTGGCCTCGATCGAACTCAAAGAGATCCACCTGCCTCTGCCTCCTGAGTACTAGGATTAAAAAGTGTATGCCATCACTCTTGCCTCCAAATGCTTCTTAATCTATGGCAAGGCCTGACCCTGGAATCACAACGATCATTTGTTGGCCATGTGCCAGAAGTGCTGCTGGACTGTGGGAAATGTCATATATGGCTGACAGTAGGACTCAGGACAGACACTGGTCATCGTGGGCAGCCTTAGAAGCGGCTAAGTACTATGGTGCCTGTTATGGTGGACCTTTACCCCAGCCCCTGCAAGCCGTATACCTAGAGAGTCTGGGATGTCTTGGTGGAGGTTCCACCCAAGCCCCTACCCCTGTCTCTCTCCAAACCTGCTGCATCTCAGAAAGCCTGCCAAATGATGACCCCTCCCCCAGAGATGCTCCAGACCCCTCCCACAGGGTATATAAAACTGTCCCCCAGAAAACAGACTCATGGTTTTTCCCGTCTCCCTTCTGCATCTCCTCTCTGGAAGGCCATCTGGGAGCGTTGTATCCATTAAATGTGGGCTTTTTACAATTCGGGTTGCTTTGGCCTGATTTGGATTGCTGCATCAGCGGAGAGGCTTATTGGGGTGCAGAAACTTTTCAGTGCCCAGCACTGTCCCTGTCCCATTACTCTATAGGTGGTCACACAGGAAGACAGGTGTCTCCCTGAGGAGGGGCAGGGTGCACTAAAGTGCCTCAAAGCAGACTGTCACTCATGCAGCCTCCTTTACTTTGTCATCTGTCTGGATGCAGGCCAAGCCACTGCAGATATTGTTGCCACCTGGCATTGGCATGGAAATACGGGCAGCTCTGTCTTTCTGAGCCACAAACCCTTTTCAGAAAGGTTCAGACAGTCTCATTCATTTGAGTAAAGGAAAGAGTTTGCTGCTTCCTGAGAAACAGGCTCCGCTCCATCTCCCCTCCCTCCTCCTAGCCACTACTCCTGCCCACTGGCCAGTCATTTTTATTAGTGAACATAAAGTCAGTTGTTCTTCCAAGGTTTGGTAGTCAACTTGACTTTGTAAAAATCTCAAAGCCTGCTGGGTGTTGGTGGCGCACGCCTTTAATCCCAGCACTCGGGAGGCAGAGGCAGGTGGATCTCTGTGAGTTCTAGGCCAGCCTGGTCTACAAAGCTACACAGAGAAACTTTGTCTCAAAAACAAACAAACTCAAAGCCTTCTGTCCCCAGGTCCTTGCAGTTAGCTCTCCTCAATGCCTGTCTTTCTCTCCATCCTTGGATAGCAGCAGTGTTCCGTGACTTTTCCATGTCAGGTTTTGGTTCACAGGCCAGGGGTGGCAGATCACCACTGACACCTCTTTTCCTTCCCCAGAGCAGCGTGAGCACTTCAGGGGAAGGATGCCAGGAACTTCCTCTAGCAAGAATGATGGAAAGAAGCCTAAGAGAACGTTCTTCGGTTCTCTCCAATAGTAACCGAGGTCACAAAGCACCTGGGCAGCCTCTCTTTCTACGGCAGGGGTGGCTCTGCCTCCGGCTTCCCCTGCTGGCTGGCTCAGAGCTATCCCTGGGCTGCCAGCTGTTGCAGGAGCTCTAGAGAGGCGTCTCCTGCTTGCATGCTTTAGAGGGCAGTGCACATGTGTGACCACATCGACCCTTTGCATGAAGGCTCATATATGCACAGTGATAATCCCCCGCGCCCAGCTGTCTCACAGCAAATGCTGCTACCCCTGCTTTAGATAGACAGGAATTAACGCTCCTCTTTGTAGGAGGCCCCAGACTGTCTGGACGAAAACCAGTTGAATCCCCGTGCTTCCTGGTGTGTGGCTCAGGAGCTGCTGCTGGGTAGGAAGGGCTTTGTGTGCCGGTCCCAGGCCTGGCTCACACCTGCTGTGAGCAGGATGCAAGTGTCAGGGCTTAAGAGGGCGAGGCCCTACAGCACTCTTCTCTAAGTGGGCCTGGGTACACCCTCAGGGAGCAGCTGCCACCTTAGACAAGACTGACGTCCTTCCCCATTTGAGATTCTATTTTAAGAGCTGAACAATTGAGATTTATTAAAAGAAGGATTGCATCACTATCAGGAAAGGGGGCAGTGATAGAGGGGTATTGGGGCAAGCAGGCATCTCTGCTGGGAGGTGATTGTACTCAGCACAAATGGCTTCATACACACACACACACACACACACACACACACACCCGCGGGGCCCCAGTGTGCAGTGGATGGATGGATGCTGTGTGTTGTGCACTTACAGATACTGTGCTGGGCACTCTTGCTTCACCTGTATTAACTAGAGTCACCTCATCCATCAGCCCTTGAGAGATGCACTGTTATTATTCTGATCCAAACAGAGAAGAACACTTACTGAGCCATTAGACAGAGGGAAAGTGAGAGTTGCCTCTTGAGGGTGGGAAGACACAATAGGCCTTTCTTCTTCCTTATCAAAGTTCAAAACAGTTGAACACCAAATTAGCTGGCTGGAAAATGCATCCCCTATACAGCTTGTTAATAGTTCACCCTAAGTCAGAAGGACCAGGTCACCCTTTTGCAAGCCTTACCCACAGAGAGCAAGCTGGAGTTGAAGGAATGCAGTTTCTGTGACAGCAGGACACCCCCACACACACACCCCACCCCCAACAGAGTCAGAAGAAGGTTGAGCAAGCCTGTGCTCTGCTCGCCATCTCACACACACTGGCTCCCAAAGTCTGCCTCTTCCCCATGGAGAAATGAGGTATGTTCTCCCAAAGGACATTCTTGGCCACCAAACAAAACCGGGAGAATCTGGGTGACCTCGACTCCAGGATGGAGACTTGGGTTTTCACCAGCCCTGGGGTATGCCTACCACAGGCCATGTCCTCAGAACCCTAGATCTTCAGACATCAGGAGACACCTTCCCTTCATTATAGCAAAATATGTAGGCCAGAGGACTTGCTTACTCATCCAAAGGTAGATGGTGAACAGATTTCTTTCAACCCTCATCCCTGTCCTGTGTCTTCTCTTGCCTTCCATGCTTCACTGAGAGGCTGAGGATAGGCAAGTGTGTCCCCGTATACAGTGTGACCCAAGAACAACTATATGGAGATTGCCCCACTCACAGGGGCAACATAGAAGACAGACCTGTGCTCCTAGGGCAGAAGGGTAAGGAATGTTTGGGTCCTTGGCAGACCAGGATCTCCCCCTGATGATGAGACCATACTCTCAGCTTCCTGGTCCAAGCCTCTCCCATCCCCCTTCTTCCCTCCTCAAAGGCAGTGGCCTCTGTCTACCGTTGTTCTCTGTTCTTCACTCCTTACTTCTCTTGGGCCTGTGTCCATATTTCCATTTCCCCAGGACTGGGCTAGAATAAGAATTTGGTTTGAGTCAGCTAGATCTCGACCTGAGTAATGTACTGTGGGACTCAGGATGGTTCCCTTCACCCCGTTAGCCTCTGTTTCCTCAAATATAGAGCAAAAGTCTCAATGGCTACCCCATGGACATGAGGGATGGCTACATAAGTTAACACACGATATTTAAGTGTGCCGTCTGCCTCTCCTTACGTGGTCTATAAATGTTATTTGCTATAATGAAGGGACAGTATCTTCTGATGTCTAATGTGCTAGGGCTCTAAGGACCTACTAGCCTGTGGAAGGAATGCCCCCAGTGGACGAGTGAAAATCTAAGTTTGAATCCTGGAGTTGAGGGTCACCCGGATTCTTCTGGTTTTGTTGTTCAAATAGGGGGAAGGGAGGATTTAGTTACTGTCACTTACCAATTCACCAAATATTAGCAGTCTGTGTGCTAGAGAGGTTGATGGTTAAAGCACATTTTCTCTTAGTTCTAGGCTGGCATGTTTAGATAAGACAGAAGACATTAACATTGCCATCACCAACCCATCGCTGAGTGTGGGAGCATCTGGGTGTATCTATCTATTCTGTGGCACTCGAAGACTGCTGAGTTGTGGGGTTATCCATTGCATCCTCTCTGTTGGGAGGTGAGGTATCAGTATCCATGGAGGGCTTCTCCTACAATGGTTTTCTCTTACCACCACCGTATCCATCACTCATTGAGGAAGCAGAACTGCTCTCTTAGAGTATTGCTTTCCCTTCTTACATTCGAAAGCAGCCTGGTATTTCCCCAACTCCACAGTCCAGCACTTCCATCCAAGCTGAGATCAGGATACAGAGTGTGCCTGTGGCTGGAGATTGAGAAAATCAGCCCGCCCACCCAGCCCATCAGTTCTAGGAGGTAGGCGTGTCTGACTGCATCTTCGGCATCAAGGCTTTGTCACTGCATCCATTTCTTGTCCCTTCCTTTCTTTTTTTTTTCAAGACAGAGTCTCACTGTGTAGCTCTGGCTTTCCTGTAACTTGCTATGTAGACCAGGGTAGCCTTGAACCCACAGAGATTCACCTGCCTCTGCCTCCTACATGCTGGAATTAAAAGCATGCACCACTATGCCTGGCTATCGCTCCCATTTTTCATCAGGAAGATTTGTGACATAACATTGGCCTAGCATGGGTAACTAGGACTGTTCCCAGAAACATAAGCCTAAAAAGTCACCCTACCCAAGGGACCATCATTTCTTAATGATGAGACTTCCTGTATGAGTCTGAGCTACACGTAAAGCACAAAGCCACCAATTTATGCTCTTACCTTCCCATCAGACTATGTCTTAGATATGACAGAAGTAGTAGATGGAACCACTTGGGTTTTTAACTTCAATCTATGAAAACTCCCACTGAAGTCAGCAAAACTTAGTTTCTTTATAAATAAGAGCACGTTGTGACAGTGTTTGGACGTGGAAGATCTGGCAGCTAAAGAAGCAGATCTTCTCCTGCAATCTTCCCCTCAGCAGCTTTGTGTCTGTGGTAGGTGCCCTGATTGCATCTGAAGATAGACCATCCTCTGGGTTCACAGGTAGGGAGGAAGGGGGGCGCTCAGAATGCACGAAGAACGTTTGACAGTCGAACACTACCCCAAGTGCTAAAGAAATGTAAAGACTATAGATCATTGTTGACGTTTCCCAAGTTTTTAGCATGGGAAATAGAATTAAACTATCAAGTAGCTCCTACCACAAATCTAATCTTCCTTGTGATAGAGAGCAGGCTTCTTCGTGCCATCTCGCTTTGTGTCTTCTGAACACAAGCTATTGTCAGAGGCTTCTTGAGACTCCTCCAAGGTCCTTACTTGCCCCTCCCTTTCCTGCCTTCTCAGCAAGGCATCAGCTGTAGGTACATTCCTCAGCTGCTCTCCCTCCGTTACCTCTGTCTTAGACGTTGGGAAGGAAGTGGTCGGTCAGAGTCTGGAGAATGCGCTCATTAGGGAAACAAATGAGAGGAGGCATGAGTCAGAATGATTGGGAATAAAGAAGTTTTGATTTGGCAGTCACTTATTCTTCCTGGAATCCCACGAGGCTCTCACCCCGCCTGGGCTTCATATTCAATGATTTTTCGCATGATTGTGAACCAAAGACCAAAACTCAGATGTGTAAGAAACCCTGTCTCAAGTCCCATAACCCAAGATTGAGCTCCCATTCCATTGGATGGGCAGAAGAGTGAATTGCTATTCTTGGGCTTTTATGCAAGGATTCAGGGGTACCCAGGCATCAGTTGTTACAGGTTGGCTCTTGGGAAAATCATATTCTTGTCTTCATGACTCTTTGGACCATCTCTGGGAAACAGGATTCTTTTAGAAAGCCACGACATATGGTCTTATATGCCCAGATATGTGAGCGGGCCGTTACAGTCATCTAAAAGAACACATATCTGCAACTTCCTCTTTCTTAGACAAATAGAGGCCCTGTCAGTGGTCACAGAAGGCCCTTAGCATTTGCTTGCTTTGCTAAGACAAAAACCTCTAAACCACCAACCTCTGGTCTTAACCGCCAACCTCTGGTCCCTTGTCCCCAGCCCATCGAGGTTTCCTTCTGTGGGTGGAGAACGATCAGGTCACACACCTGCTACTGCAAGACATTCAGATCATATTGGAAAGCTTTTCCCTTCACTTTACTCATTGCAGGGAAGGGCTCAAAAGGTTCAAAGCTGGGGGAAGGGAAACTAGTAAAAGTGGTAGATGGATTATCTTTTTGCCCTTACTCTGCACTTAGCACCTCAGGAGAATGAATAAAACCCAAGTCCTGCAGGGAGGAGAGAAAGGAGGAAATCACAGGAACAAGAACAGGTAACACGCATGCGCCTGGAGAGACAGTGAGCAGCCCTTCGGCTAAGAGATTCATCTCTCTAGACATTAGGAAACAAGTGCTCTGAAAAGCAGGCAAGGGAATGGTGTTGATTAAATTTAGTTCCATTCGATTTCTTAAGTGGGCGGGGTTGGGAAGTTTCTAAAAGCTTCCGCAGTTGGATCCGGTCTTTGACAGCAGTTGTGGTTTCATCCGCCCACTCCTTTTGCCTTTCATGGGATGCTTCAGTTGGCACCAGGGTGGAGTAAAGAGCGCATTAGTGAGATTGCATTATCTGAGGAATGAGACAGCTGTGCTAAATGACTTCATCAGGACGCATCCCAGTGTGAGTGGAGAAGCTGTCTTAGGGTGTTTGTCATGCCACACTTCTCACCATAAATGCGACAACAAAGAAAGTTGGGGAGGTCCAAGGAACAAGAGGCTGCTGCTCTCCTTAAGTGCCCTACTCTAGTCTGGATCTGGGAGCTTGACCAAAGCAGACCTTCCACACATGTCTATGGCCTAAAGGATGACCATGAGGCCCGTGTGGTCTTAACACTAGACCAGGGTCCATGCTGAATTCATAAAGCTCTGTCATTTGCAAAGAGTAGTCGGGAATCTGAAAGAGAAAAAAAACATACTAATTCAAAAGAGCTGCCCTTGTCAGGAGAACAGCTTTCTGAGCAGATGTACCAGTGGACAGGAGGGGTTGAAATGGAAAGACCAGTGGCCAGGCTTCGGAGGTTCAGAAAGAAGGCATCTGTCATGCAAAAAACCATCATAACTAAGATGCTGCAGTACTAGCATAAACAATGTTAGATAAATATATAGACTTCTGCAACAGAATAGAGAGGCTAGATAAATTGCTCACATATGGCTAGAGACACCAAACTATATCAATTATATCATAGAGAGAGGACCATCTTACCAACAAATGTTCTTGAGAAAACTGGGAATCTGCATGCAGAAGACTCTCATTACGTGGCATTCAAAACCCAACTCATTGTGGATTTTTAACCTGAAAGACCTAAAGCTATAAAGTCCTGGGCTGGAGAGATAGCTCAGTGGTTAAGAGCACTGACTGTTCTTCCTAAGGATCTAGATTTGATGCCCATCTCCTACATCACAACTCGTGATCACCTATAACTCCAAATCTAGACCGTTTTGTGGCCTCTTTGTGCAGTTCACACACATAGAGAACTTATATGCAGGCCAAACACCCATACACATTAAATTAAATAAATAGATTAAAAAATTTTTAACTATAACATTTTCTTCTTCCTGGAAGAAAACACAGGAAGGGAGTGGGAGGCATTGGATATAGCACCAGTTGTTCATATGTGACAGAAAAGCTCAGGGCAAAGATAAAGTAAATAAATAAAGAGGTCTGTCTTAAAGAGCTCACTGCACACTCCAGGCAACAATCTTTAAAATGAGCAAAGTATTTGAAAATATATACATCCAAAGGATCTACACAAATGTCCAATAAATGCATGAGAATATAATCAACAACACCAATCATTAGGGAAATGTAAATTAAGGCCATGAGATTTCACTTCATGCCCATGAAGTAGGTGACTCTAGATCATATAATTATGAGTGTTGCCAAGGATGTGAAGTTGAAGCCTGTGTATACTATTGATGGGAATAAAAAATCTGGAAAACAACATGAAGTTTCCTCAAAAACATTAAAAAAGATTCACCATAAACTCCAGCACCCTACTTCTGGTATCCATCCAAAGGAATTCAAAGCAGAATCTGAAAGAGCTGTGTGCATAGCCATGCTCATCCCAACACTATTCATAACAGCCAATGGTGGAAGAAACCAGTATGTTCATACATGGGCAAACAGATAAAGGGAATGATTATATGCCTACAGAAAAATATTATAAAGCCTTTAAAGGAAAGCAACCCTATCACATGCCACACAAGGATGAATTTTGACAAGATTATACTAAGTTAAATTGTAGCAACTCTTTGTACCACCAGCTCCCAAATAACAACACTGAGACTTATTATTAATTATGAAAATTCAGCCTTAGCTTAGGCTTGTTTCTAACTAGTCTTTATAACTTAAATTAACCAATTTCTATTCATCTACGTGTTGCCATGTGGCTCCTGGATCTACCTCTCCTTCTGTATGTCCTGTTTCCTCTCCATGTCCTCTAGCATCTATCCCATGACTAGATTCATGTCCTCCTCTTCTCTCTCTGCCCGGAAGTCCACCTAACCTCTTCCTGTCATTCAGCTCTTTATCACACCAATCAGAAGGTGCCTTGGCAAAGACACATCTTTACAGTGGACAAAAGAGATTATTCCACAACATTAAATAGTTCGTTTTAAAAGGACAAATGTCTTATCTTTTCATTTGTATTAACAGTCCTTCATCACTGTGACAAAATACCAGAGAGAAACAACTTAAAGGAGGAAGGTGTTATTTTGGCTCGTGGTTTTCAGTCAGTGCTAACTTGGCTCTGTACCTTCTGGGTTCAGCACGGTGAGGCAGAACCTCATGGGGGAGTATATGAAGGTGGCTCACTTTGTGGTGGACAGAAAGCAGAGAGAAAAAATGGAGGAGTAAGTGCCTAGGGACAAGATAAGCACTTCAAAGGCACAACCCCACCTCCTAGTAGAACATTTAACCATGAAGTCATCCATGGGGTAATTCACTGATGAGTTTATATCATATAAGCCTTCATTACATGAGTCTTTGGGGTCAGGGTGGAGAGGACATCTGACATCCAAATCATAATACCGCCATGTGAAATATCTAAAGAAGTTAAAATTTGTAGAAATGGAAGGGAGAAAAGTGGTTACTCAGGACTGGGAGAATACATGTTTTGTTGATATTGAGTGTCCGCGCTATAAAATGAAACAGTTCTAGAGATCTGTGCACAACGATTTATATGTGCTGTTAACCTGATATCCCAAAACTGGTTGAGATGATAGATTTAATGCCATATGTTATTTTGTTTTTTTTTCTTTTTGTTTTGCTTTGTTTTGTTTTTGAGATAGGGTTTCTTTGTGTAGTCCTGGCTGTCCTGGAACTCACTCTGTAGACCAGGCTGGCCTCAAGCTCACAGAGATCCTCCTGCCTCTGCCTCTTGAGTGCTGGGATTAAAGGGGAGCATCACCACCACCCAACCTCATATGTTCATATTACAATTAAAAAGAAGTGGAAAGAGACATATTTTTCTTCTAAGAGATTTTTTCTGCAAGGTTCACCAAGCCAAAGCAGAACCAGGGTTGTTGTGTGATGTTTTACTCTTTTGGCTTTTGGACTCTTTGGGGGACCCACTACCCAACTCCCAAATAAATCACACACACAGGCTTATTCTTAGTTAGGAATACCCAGTCTTAGCTTGGCTTGCTTCTTGCCAGCTTTTCTTAACTTAAATTATCCTCAGGGCTTTTAGCTTCTCTATTCCTGTATACCTTTTCTTTCCTTCTTACTCCATGTCTGGCTATGTAGCTGGGTGCCTGGGGTGGCTGGGTGGCTGGGCGGCTGGGCGGCTGGGTGGTTGGTCCCTGAAGTCCTCATTCCTCTCTCTTTCCCTCATCCTCTTCCTCCCAGATTTCTCCTATATATTGCCTCTGCCTGCCCACCTGCCTCGCCTATCCCTTCTCCTGCGACGCCATTGGCCTTTCAGCTTTTTATTAGACCATCAGGTATTTTAGACAAAGAACCACAGCTTCACCAAGTTAAACAAATACAGCATACACAAAGGCAACACATCTTTACATCATTAGATGTTGCACAGCACAAACAAGAGTAACACACATTAAAATAATATCCTACCACACAGGGTTCTAACTGTCAGCCCTTGTCCCCCAACCTAGCAGGTCAGCTGTTGCCTTGCCAGTCCCTTGTCATTCAGCGAAATGTTCCTGAATGGGTAGACACCTGGCTTAACACAACCCCCCCTAGACATATGGTAACCAGGAACACACACCCTTACCTCATCTCACTGGCAGCATTTCCTAGTGCTCAGCTCCAAATCGGAGATGCCTAGTGTTAAGTAAAGGACCAACCATCTCACATCTGTGAACACCATGGTGTTTTTGGAGGTTTTATAGTATAACAGGCCCCAAGGGCAAACATTGCTTTCTCCATATTTATTCTTTGAGAGTTTCATAGATGAGTACTGTATTTACATCTGGGCTAAGCATTTTGTGCACACCATCCAGGTTTAACGTCTTAAGGACTCTGAGTGTCTGGTAGCTGTCAACCACATGCTACAAATGAGGAAACTGAGGCCCAGAGGCTACGGGGCTTCGCCAGGATGACAATGACAGTGGTACTGTGGAGGTCATCTGTGAGACTGTCTCAAGCATTACGGGCTTGGTGACACTGGTTGAGTTCCTTGTCAGGGGGAGGAGGAGAAGGAAGGGGGAGGGAGGAAGAGGAGAAGAGGAGGAAGAGGAGGAGAAGGGAGGAGGAGGAGGAGGAGGAAGAGGAGGAGGAGGAGAAAGAGGAGGAGGAGGAAGGAGACTGATGTGAGGGTTCCAGTAGCCAAGCCCATTCTGTGTTTCTAACAGTCTAAAGTCAGCAGCCAGCCCCTCCCGCACACACCCACAGTTTAATTTGCCCTTACAAAAGACCAGAGCTCCTTTCTGACTTGCTCATTTCCTCCACTGACTATGCACAGGTCAAAAGAGATTGGTGGCAGCCACCATTCTGTACAGGGGAGGATGCTGGCTGGGTGAGGCTAACAGTCTACACAGCACTGATTCCTGGACCTGCCTTGTCACTCAGAACTACATGGTTGCACTGCAGGGCACAGGGCTTTCCTACATCAGCCGAGGGTCGGGTTCAGAAAGAGGCCCTTGTCTGGCTGGGATTTTCCTGGATCTGAGGGAGGATGAGCACTCTGGAATAGCATAAGTGCTGTCTGCTCCCTGCTTACGCTCCATGTTGGCTGTGGCCGGGGAGAGTGCTTTATTCTCAGTAGAATTTGAAGATTTTTCCTGCGAGTACATCTGAAGGTGCCTTTAAATTTATCTTAGCACACTTACTTATTTCCCTGTTTATTATTTACTTGGGGAGGTGCACACATGCCGTAGCACAAGTGTAGAGTCAAAGGTCGCACCTGTGAGAGTTGCTTCTCTTATTCCATATGTGGCTCCCAGGAATCAAACTCAGGTTGTGAAACCTGGTGGGAAATGTTTTTACCCACTGAGCCATCCCACCTTTTAAGCCTAACATTCTGCTAAAGAAACAAACATGCCAGTCATTCAAATTCTGGTTAAGTGTGAAGGAATATTATTTGGAAGACAATCTTTGCCAAAAACATCTTAATTTATCTATTCAGCAAACAGGCCGGCAGATAGGGTAGGGATCAAAAAAGCCATCTCAAAAGAGGGCCTGGGGTTCTTCGAGACACTGCACCAGGTGAGGGAGGAAAATGAGTCTTTTAACCCTCATGACGGTTTGTGTGGGACTGGACAGATGGCTTAGTGGTTAAGAGCACTGGCTGTTCTTTCAGAGGACCCAGGTTCAAACACCAGCACCCACATGGTGGCTCACAACGGTCTGTGATTCCAGTTCCAGGGAATCTAACGCCCTCTTCTGAACTCCTGAAATTAATAAACCTACAAATATTTTGTAAAAGCAACCATTTTCATGCCGGTTTAATTCACGTGTGTTGAAGGTGTGTGTACACGTGTGCACAGCATGTGAGGTCAGAGGACAATGTTCTGTGTCATACCCTCAGTCATTGACCACACTTGTTTGCGACAGGGTCTCTGGCTGGCTTAGAACTCCCAAGGTAGGCAAGGCCAGCTAGCCAGGGAGCCCCAGGGACCTTCCTGTCTCTGCCTTCCCAGTGCTGTGACCACAAGGGAGTACCACTGAACTTCCTGTTTGTTGGTTTGTTTTGAGTTTTGAGACAAGGTCTCACCATGTACCCCTGGCCGGCCCTGAACTCACCATGTAGACCAAGCATGCTTTGAACTCACAGATCTTCCTACCTCTGCCTCTAAGCATGAGCTGCTTGGTAGGTCTGGCCCATCGTGTTTGTTTTTACTTCTAACATGGGTTCTTTGGATCTGATTTAGGACTTCCTTCATGCCTCCAGGACAAGCACTTGACCAGCTGAGCTGTCTTTCTAGGCCCACTTTTTCATGATTGTTTTTAAAAAGGGTTTTAGGACCAGTGCGAGACAGCTTTGTGGATAAAACAGCTTGCTGCAGAAGCCTGGCTGCCCAAATTCTATTCCAGGACCGCACAGAGGGGAGAATTGACTCCCAAAGCTGTTGTCCTTGAACCTCCGCACATGTGCCATGGGGCTTGTACACACCCACATAGTAATAATAAAATAAATTTAAATAGGATAAATGGCAAAGGACTTTTAGAAAGCTAATTCCTTTATGTGAAAGTATGATTTGTGAGAAATTCAAGTATTCCTTCAGTGTGGGTTGAATGTCACTTTCTTTACTTGACAACATGTGTATGTTCATGGAAAAACCTTGTAGAATACAGTTCTCCTGCCCTCAGGCTGGTCTGTCTGTCAGTCCTTTCAATTATGCATATTTGCCAAGGACAGTTGAGAGGAAAAGGAAATGTCCTTCTAAGGGGCTACTTGAGAGTGATCAGCAGTTTCCTTTCTTCTGGCCTCTGTGCTGCATAATTTTTTTAATGATGAGCTTGGATCGAATAAGGCTATCATAAAAATTAAGCTTCAAAGTAAACAAATTTCAGAAAAGCAGATGAGACTGCATTGCCCTGCTTCTGGCTTTCTTGGCCGGGAGTGACTCTCTGGGCCACCACTCCCCACCCCCAGCCCCGAGAGAGCCCCTCCTTCCTGGCAGGACCCCTGAAGGGGACCAGACTGGCACTTCCCCACTCACAGTCTCTTCGGGAGTGTCTGCAGCCTGGTAAATAGTGCATTCTTGAAGGGACCAGTAGATGCCAGGCCCTGGAAGGCTGGAGCGTGTTTGCCGGGTGCCTTGACTTCCTTCCCATGTGTTTGTGATAAAATCAGAGATGAAACTGGCTTGGGCTAGTTCCTGCAAGTTTTCCTAGGGGCCTCAGAAGGCTGACTGAATGTCTGTGGATTCAGCTACCCCGTGCTTCTCCGAGTTCAGAGGGAAGTGGTGGTGTCTGAGTTACTCAAGTTTGTTTTAGGAGTTCTTGCTTTATTCTGAGTGAATAAAATCAGAACGCAGTTAGAAAAGCCGTTCCAGAAATAAAGCCAGCTATTCATGGCAGAGCTTTGGGGCGAATCCCTTCCCTTCTCTATGAAGGAAAACTATTTACTTTTTAAAGAGTCAACAGCAGCTCAAGCTCGCAGCCATCAAAAGAAGCAGCCATCTCAGCGTGGGGGAGGACAGATGGGTACTCTCAGGTGACAGAGGACTCAGGGCCAGGCTGTGAAAGCTGCAGTTTTGACTTTGCTAATATTCTTGGAGAAATTTCAAAATAGAGAGCTGATGGAGCCTTTTTGTTACCTAAAAGTAGAACAATAAGTGGGGTAACAGTGCCTACAGGGATTACTTTACTGAGTTAAGGTGAAGTAATGTGATCAGGGTTCCTGGTCCACAGTGAAGCACTTCGAAAGCGTGCACGCGTGAGTGTGTGCATGAGTGCATGTGTGCGCGTCTGATATGCCTCTGTGTGTGTCATTTGTATGTGTGGGTGCAAGCATACATGTGTACTCATGGAGGCCTGAGACGGACTTCAGGTGTCCTGCGCTACCACTCTCCACCACGTTCCTATAGGGCAGGATCTCTTACTGAGTCTGGAGCTGTGTGGTAGCCACCAAGTCCCAGTGACACCTCCTGTCTCTGCCCCTCTCCCACACACTAGTGTGTGACCACCCGCAGCTTTTCTTTTTCACAGGGTTATGGATTTTGTTTATGTGCATGAATGCTTGCCTGCATATATGGCTGTTTTTCACAGGTTTATGGATTTTGTTTATGTGCATGAATGCTTGCCTGCATATATGGCTGTTTTTCACAGGTTTATGGATTTTGTTTATGTACATGAATGTTTGTCTGCATATATGACTGTGCATCACATGCGTGTCT